ATAGATTTTACTATAAGGATTTGATTAGTATTTTCTTGGATCTATAAAATTTCTTGTTACATTAATTTCTTTGCTTGCTTCTTAACTTAACTCGTATTCAATATTTGCCATGAAATGTATATAAAGAACTAGTATTAATATTAAATCTAAAGTGTATTTTTTTTTTACGAGCAGTAGTGCCAGAAAGAGGACGCTAGACTCTCTGATTGTGTGTGTTTGAACTGCATCCTCTTCTTGCATCACTGTTTATCAGTTTAATTTCTAACAAACTGAACTTAAAATAATTATTAAATATTCAATAATTTGGACTGAATTTATGCAATAATCGTGTTGGAATTCAGAAAATTAAATAGACTTTAGAGATTAGATGGAAAAAATTTTAGACAACTTGGTGCTGGGGAGTTTAGTATTATTAACCAGAAAATTTGGTAAATTTAACAGGAAGAAATTAATCAGATTCATCTGGTAATTCCTACAAGAATTCTGGTTCGTCCATTTTCCAACAGACATACTGGTTGAATCTACCAGAATTCTAATTAATGCAACCAGATTTTTTCTCAGTGTGCTTAACATAAGAGTCTGCCTATGACTAGCGACAGTGTATGATTACTTTAACGGTTAATTAATGTTGCTTAATGGAGCACGCAAGGTCTGATAGAGAAGAAGATTGAGAATCGCTTTGAAACTTGATCGTAATATATAACAACAATCGGATAATATTGCATCTATGTCTTACGTCAGTTTTATTTCTTGCTGTGTAAGATTAATAGGAACTATAATATCGAATATAAGACAAGAAGAGGATAGGTCGATTTAAATCGACACAGTTAACTCATTCACGATGTGTTGGCATTGCATGATTCTATCGAAAGGAATTGCTTTAATTCATGCGTTTATATATTTCATAGTTTAAATTATTCAAACTATTCAAAACAAGTGTCAGCATTTGAAATATTTTGCGAATTTTAAGTCAAATAAATAATCTAACGCGATAAGCAATTTATACATATAAAATTTATTTAATTTTAATAATTGAAATTTTTTATATATTATGACTTATGTATATATGATCTTATACATGTATATAAATAATAATACCGCTGATCCAAGCGCTTGTCATTGCCTACAAACGAGCAGTTTGCAATAGAAACAAATAACTCGTGATTGAATCACAAAATGGAATTCAACTTGTTAGCATACCATCGCTGCATAAAGTGTGACACATATGACCAATTATATCAGGTCTTATAAGACTACCGTGTTCAAACGAGGTGTGAATCATTGTACTAATCCAGCTCTACCAGTCCATAGAACTCATCTATAATTAATTATACCGCAGAATGTTGTAATAATACCTCGTGACTTAGACTTTTACCGCATCACGCATTCTTAGTTTTTTTCCAGCTTGTCTTTTGCAAATCCGTGCATTTGCCTATATCCGTGTTATAATAAAATTCAATTCACAAACGATACCGAGGAATCGTGCACGCCGCATGTAATTATTTCCAGTCGTCGATCGCGAATCACGCGCGCTCGAGCTTACGAAAGATCGCGCATATCCTAGTCGCAGGGTATGTTAATTAGGTGCTTTCATGACGCTCGCATTCGAAGAGATATGTCACAGGGGAATCTTTCCGACACTGAAAAGTAACCTCTGCCTACAACGAGACTTTCCATCCTCGATAGGTACGATATACTGTTCGTGTGCTGCTGCCATAATTAGAAAGTATAATCGGCACCGCGTGTTCAATGTTGTAGAGGTCTTTGCGCTTGCGAAGTTTCTATATTAATTGACAATTTATCGTGATAATCAACGATAGTGTCAATTAATGAACGCGTGCACACACACACACATACAAACATATACACATACGGTAATTCGCAGGCAATCTACGTATCCGCGAGGTTGGTCACGTTTTAGCTAATCTAGTTTCACGCTCCAGCAATTATGCTCCGAGAGGCATCTTTTCACATTCCATCGTAATAACAAACCACAAGCGTGCTATACTAAGGAATTTTTGTACTCATAATTTCATATTGTATAATAATTATAGACCTAACATATATTTTTAACTGTATAAATTATGTATACTCGATAAATTATGCATATATTGATATTAACTTTTTATATCAATTAAATGCAATTATCTCACTCGTTCTTGATAACACGTATAAATTATTTGTGTTTAATATACATATAATTATTTGAGAAAATTGTTATACATTTATGTCAATTTATGTTGTTTATACAATTATGTCACATTTATGTCACATTTATGTCAATTTATGTCACATTTATGTCAATTTATGGTGTTTATACAATTATGTTACATTTATGTTGTTTATACAATTATGTCAATCTTGAAATAGCGTGTTTTATCTTTCTTGAAATCTTCTTTAAATACATAAATATAGTAAAATAAACGTACTTTCACGATGATCTTGGATTTGCATCGGTCTAGATATGCGTGTCACAATGAGGGCGCGATAATAAATTAACAAGTCACTGGCAGACTTTCATAATAATGCGGGTTAGTTTTCTCTCGTGTAGATAAACAATTAACAGGACCGCGAGATATGCGGACTGTCTGGGAAGCGGAAATAATGAACACACCTGCGACGCTACATGAATCTTTAAAGGATCTTGCTGCGAGATAATCTAGATACATGAAATTTAATAATCGCCCCTATGCACGCGCATCCACGAGTACGTAAGAGAATCGCACGCCTATGAGGAGAGGATTATACCCTGTCGAAACGATCCCTCTGATTAAACGATTCAAGAAGAAAAATGGAGAGAGAGAGAGAGAGAGAGAGAGAGAGAGAGAGAGAGAGAGAGAGAGAGAGAGAGAGAGAGAGAGAAAGATGGCATTTCACGACCCTGAAGGCAATAATTTATGCGCTCTGCAAACCACTTATAATCAGAAAGATGGACCGGGTGCAAATTGATCTGTTTCGATAGAAAGATCGCGATATTCTGATTGAAAAGTGCGCAAATCATGGAGATTAAAAAATAATGTCGACACGCGTGAATAATTTATAATCGACAGTCATTTTGCATAATTCAATTTGGATCAGCGTAATTACATTGCATCACGATAATTGCTGGAATGGAATTAAATTTATATTTAAAACTTTATCTTTAAAATAACGATTTTTTTCTTGAAAATTCTATCTTGATTGTTATTAAGTGATATTAAAAGTATCAAATCATTTATATTATAATAATAAAAAATTAAATCAAGTGTTTTATTACTTTTATTAAACGTGTTGTTGTTAATAAATTAATAAGATGTGCTCTCTTCTTACATCTATAAAATAATACAAAAAATTAATTTGATAAAATATTTTTTATACTAAACGGATGCGAGATTGTATCGATGCGTGTAAATAATGTCAGCATGCTATTCAATACTTAAGCCACTAGCGTGAAAAAATATAATATTGCACGTGTTATAAATTTTCTCACGAGTGTCATGCTTCAACAAGAGAAAAGTAGCTCCGATAATTTGAGAATCTTGGGGGAATCAGCCACGTGCACGTAAATGAATGCCATCGGGATAGATGAGAAACACCCCGGACTGCGAACTGTTCACGATCGATACAGTAAGTTGTTGCCCTAAAAAATAAATACAGCCGTTCCATGTAATAATATTCTCAAGAAAGCAATTTATGATTGATTGCAAATATTTATAGGATATCTTTATAGGATTGCAAATATTTATAGAATACGCGATTCATTTAAATTTAATAAGGCTTATTTAACTGCAATTGAAAAATTAATGTGCATTCTTATTTAAATTAAAATTTTAAATAAAACATTTCAATATAAATATGATAAACTAATTTGTTTAAATCGCATTTAAAATGTTTACACATTACAATTTAAATCATTATATAGAATGCAGTGAAATGACATTTTTAATAATTGACGTCTCCTAATTGACACTCCTCTCCGAATCATTTATATTCGAACTCTACGTATTTCCTTCAATTCACATCAGTATTATATATCTAAAGCAGTTACGTGCCACACACTTTCTACTTACGATATTAAAGTGTCTCAGCTCTGCGGGACACATGATATTTTATCAGGGTTACAATATGACATATATCTTGCATCTACCGACGAAATACTTTCTTCTTTATACAGGAGCCTTTCTTGCGCTTCTTCCTTAAACGTTCAACCGATTTCATTTCGCGCGTCCTCGATCGCATATTAATGCATCATTTATTTATATCTAATAAATTATTCGTCTGGTGAAAGCTTTTTCAATCACTTTACGTATTATGTATGATATCGACGTAATTCCCTATCGACGGCGATTCTCTCTCTTTCTCTCTCCTTCGATCGTGCCATTATATCTTGAGCGATCGTGGGATGAGATACAGGGAACGTCTTTCGTCACGGATACTCGATCGAGCAATCCGTGTTCCAGGATGTAGTCGAGCCGTGTCTAAGTGGATTTCACGCTCACGCGAATGCGAGAGTACGTGTATCATCGCGTCGAGATGCGATTCCGAGCGTGCACGCAGGCTTTTCCGTGTAAATGCGCGTGTTACTCGTCCCTTCGCAAACACGTGTTGTAGACCTCTGCAGGATGGTGATGTCCGCACGGTCCCCTTGGCTTATCGTGACATTATTTACCCCCATATGTCGATTTATGACCCCTCTATTAGGAACGGGTCTGTTGGGCGCCGCAGGAGTCCTGCAGTTCTGCGGTACCAGAAGGGATACCGAGATATCGTCTCGAGAGATGAGAGACCCTTGTCCTTTATCGCTCTTCGTTATGAGTTGGTAGATGAAATATTTGGCTGACTTCCGTTATAGCCTACTGCTCGCAAAGTTCTAAATGAAATTCTAGATAGAGTTTCAGACCGAGTTCTGAAAGTAAATGAGCAAGAAGATACAAACTTACCAGATTAATGTTCGCGATTACGATCGAAATTACAAGTACACTTATTTATCACTGATTGTCTTCTCTTTCTTCGTGTTACAGAGACACCTGGACAAAGGAAGCGACCTTGCTGAGGCGGCGAGCGCGAGCGGACTTCGCGAGCTCGCGAGATCTTTGAAGCAGCATCTGCGAGGATTCGGGTCTCGCTTGGAGGACAGACGGGAGTATTTGGAGGACACGTCGAGATGCTGTCTCCTTCAGGATCGCGCCTACGAGTGGGCGCAGGAGGCACGGCTAGCAAGCGAGAGAAGATCACAACAATTTTTGATGGCGAGGCCACCTCTGCCACCCGAACATTTCACCGAGATGATGGCTCTGGCGGAGAAGCTCGGCAACGAGGTCCTTTTGGAGCAATGTCGTATCGCGCGAAATAAGTGCGCGGAAGCCCTTGAGATCGCTAGGACTACATCTGCCCCGGGAAGTCCAGCGAGAAGAAGATCCTTCGCTGCTTCCGAATCGACCTCTTGGGATGATACTTTAGCAAAAAGTGAGATTCCTTCTTCCTTATTCTTATATCGTCGCAAAAAAATATATAAAAGTATAAATTGGAATTAAACATATTCCAGGGACATCCTGGGATGATAGCGACAGCAGCGCTTCTTACGCTTGTCCGATGGAAAGCGTCGGATCAGCTGGCAGCGGTGGTCGACCGGTGCTGGATAATATCGCTGAACTTCGAGAGAGTGCTGAGCAACTTTTGGACTGCTCGCCACCGCGAACACCTCCGCGAAGCCCGGCTCCGAGAAGACTGGTTAAGCCACCGGTGAATTCGCACCTTCACAGATCAGCCAGCATTGCGCCAGGAATGAAGGCAAAAAAGTATGATATTCACATATATTATATATTTTTAATAATTTAAAATAGATTTTTATTCTATTATTCTGTTGCTCGCACGGATAAGACTAATTTTTAATTAGAATTTTCGATGTGCATAAAAAATTAATATTAAAATTTAATTGAGAATATAATAGAAATATAATTGTAAAATGAAATGATAAAATTATAAAAGCACGTATCCTACGCATGACATTTCACTACTTTACTAAAGTAGCCATCCATTGTTCTTCCGTGAAATTTCCTTTATGCTATCGTGCTCGTTATTATACAGTCGCAATGCCATTAATAAAGAATTTCACCTTGCAGAACAATACTGCTCATTATGAGGGAGATGATACAGACTGAACGAGACTACGTCAAGTCACTCGAGTACATAATAGAGGTAATTGCCATGTGCGTTATTAAAGTTTATTCATGCGTAATTTTATTATTTATTATCGCATATACTGAGGATAACACATTTAAATTTTCTTGCTTCTTGAAGAACTACATCCCGGAACTCGTACGAGAGGATATTCCGCAGGCTCTTAGAGGACAAAGAAACGTAATCTTCGGGAATGTCGAGAAGATATACGAATTTCACAGTCAACACTTTCTACGCGAATTGGAGCAATGCGAGCAATCGCCTATGCTCGTGGGGCAATGTTTTCTCAGACACGTAAATATAACCATGTATCAATTCTTGACAATAGGATATCAAACATCTTAATATTTCAAATATTCTAAATATTTTATAAATATCTTATAAATAAATATTTATAAATATTTATAATATATATTTATAAATATTCTATAATATTTTATATAAATATCTTAAAAATATATAATAATTAATATATATAAATATCTTACAGGAGAAAAAGTTTTACCTATACGCTTTGTACAATAAAAATAAACCAAATTCGGATTCATTGATGGCGGAATACGGCACAAACTTCTTCAAACAGAAGCAACTAGAATTAGGGGATAAAATGGACTTGGCTAGCTATTTATTGAAACCAGTCCAACGAATGGGAAAATATGCCTTGTTACTTCAGCAGCTAGTTAAAGCCGGCACAGATTTATCAGAACAACTGTCCGGTAAAGAAGAAAAGGAAGAGAAGGAGGATAATATGAAACCCGTAGTCGAAGGTGAAGCGGATTTAAGAGCTGCTGAACAAATGGTGCGATTTCAACTTCGACATGGAAACGATCTTTTGGCAATGGATTCGCTTCGCGATTGTGACGTACGTTACATTTCTCATGATTAGAACATAAAAAATTAATAATATCAAAATAATAATAATTTACTTTAATAATTAAATCTCTCTTACATATGTTCTCTGATAATGATCTTCATAAATATAATATTTATAATATGAATATACACGAATATACATAAGTTGTAATATTATTTCATAGGTAAACGTAAAAGAGCAAGGAAGATTATTGCGGCAAAACGAGTTTTTAGTTTGGCAAGGAAAAGGCAAAAAGTGTTTACGACAAGTCTTTTTGTTCGAAGATCTTATACTTTTCAGTAAAGCAAGAAGGTTTCCTGACAGAAAGGTAATATTTTGTGAATGTCGTTTCAGATTAAATTATATATGTTGATTTATCTTTAGTTTATTAGAAAAAGATATTATTTATATAAATATATTTGCTTTCAGAACCTTGATATTTACATCTATAAACATAGCATTAAAACGACGGACATTGGCTTGACCGCTGTTATAGCGGATTCACCCACAAAATTCGAAATTTGGTTCCGCAAGAGGAAACCGGGTGACACATATACGTTGCAATGCGCGAGTGAAGACATCAAGAAAGCCTGGACTGAGGAACTTAGCAACCTTTTATGGAAACAGGCGCTTAGAAACAGAGGTAATTTATCATATTTGCTTTGTTAATTGAGGGAAAAAAGTATGGCAGCGAATTACAATTGATATTTTATATCACATTTTTAGAAGTGCGCCTGGCAGAGATGTCGAGCATGGGTATTGGAAATAAGCCGTGTTTAGATATAAGGCCTAGCGCAGATCAGATTAACGATCGTTCTATCAGTGTAGCTCAACTTTCGAAGAGTAAGTATAACTAATTTAAATTATCGAAAATATATTCGCTTATGTTGATGATCTCGAATATTAAGACAAAAATTTGAATTTTTCTCGCATAGCACCCAGATTTAGAAACTCTATAGCGGTGTCAATGGCAGAGGACTCCAGTCGCTGTAGCAGAAGGCCGCACAGCGTAATTTCCGTTAGCTCGTCTTCGAGCAGTGGTGGAAGTAGCGGCCCTCCTACTACACTTAATCTTGGATTAGATACGAGTCCACGTCCGCATCATCGTAGTACCACACTGAACAGTCAGTGTAGTGTTGGTGAGTATTATGCTTTGACTACAATAATTTTTTGAAGAGAGCTTGATAATCAATCAAACCAATCTATAATACTAATATTCATTTTATAGAAAGTGGTATTATTGCTGATATCTCAATCGTGTCGGATGACGGAGGTGACAGCACTGAGAGAAGTCCTTGGAATTCAACCTTGGAGAGTCCTACATCCTTACCTACGACCTCGACTCCTCTGCAGTCGCCAACCAGCGGAACGGCAGCAACGATTACTCCCGTGTCTTCAACAGACACGAATCTCACATCTTATGACCAAGACATGTCTATTAATCTATGAATTTCTCTTTCTATACAGAGAATATCGCGAAAACGCGAATCTATAATTGATTCACTTGCAAGTTTGTGTTACGATTACAAAGATGTAACACATCGTCGCGGCATATTTAATTAAGTATTATGAGGTATATCGTCACACGCATACTGTCGAATCATCCATCGTATTCTTGTGAGCAATTTATAGTTTAATGCGACATGAAAAAATATAAATCTGCAATCCGATAGGTCGCTGCATTACGCTTAACACGTGTGCCCAGCTACGGAATTTGTAATCGTATTACATATAAATGTAGATTCTCTTATCTTATAACTACAGAAATGGTACTGAATTTTAACATTTAACTTTCAAGTGAATCTGTCTCTGTAAATTTATCTTTTGATACGCTTCGAAATTCACAGATCTATGTGATCATATAGCTATTGAGCTATTACTTATGAAGCTCACTGATATCTGGTTTCTGAAGTAATAGCAATATGTATTTTCTTATTCTGTCTTATTTTATCAACGTGCTCAAGACACGATGCTAGAGAGATATGTTCTATCAGATGTACGATTTTATCGAAGTATATATGGTACCATAAATGGTATGCACTGGTCGCTATTCTCATTTACATCGGCATTCCTGATACAGCGGTGGAAAATTTTGTGAATCTTCCCCGATAACTTATGACAATTTTATACACTTTTATTTATATTATAGTTGATAAATATAATACTTTAACTCCACATTGTGTTCGCGTTTACTATGTATTAAGGAAAATATATGGATACTACGAATCGTACAGAAGTTGGAGAAAATATATATTTTCCTTAATCATCACGCTATCTCGATGATGAATCTAACAAGTTTTGATTGTGGATTATATGTTCAGGAATGTGTGTCAAATCAATGCGCACATATACATACTAATTTGTAATATAATGTAATATCAAAAGTTTATACAATGTAGACAAGTAATATAACCAATAGTCTATATATTACTTACAGATTATATATATAAAGTATTATATATTCTTTTTTTCATGTCAGTCATTTTTGTAAAATCTTTTATTATCCATTATAAATGTAAATCTAACTCTGGCCTGTACTCGAAAGCCAAATTTCTGTTAGAAAGTACTCTCTTATTACATTTAAAAAATAAAGTTATTTTAATATATGTGTGGATAAATGTTTTGGAACAGCTTAAGATCAATTAAAATGGTAAGCTTGCCTTAAGACAATCCACACTCCATATTCCAATGTCTTTATTAATAAATCGATTAGTTCAACTATGCAGAATCGCTCGTGATTTATCCGCAATAATGGTTAACCGGAGAGATATCCGCCTTGTAAGTATAATACATGTTATTGTTAAAAAAAAACAATTATAAACTTGCAACTTTAAGCAATTTTAGACGAAATTATATTCCATGAAGGAAAAAAATGAGATCAATTTTGTAAATCTTTATTTTTTATTTTTCTAAAATAAAAAAATGATATCATTTTGTAAACTTTTATTTTTTATTTCTAAAGTAATATCATTTAATTCTTTTAATTTGAGTAAATATGACATTGAAATAATAGCTATTCGTCATTATGTGATTCTGCATTGTTACACTGCTTCCAAGTAAATCGATTAATTAGCCATTCATAATGCCAAGGTCTGTCAAGGTATTGTAAGTATACCTTATAGATAGTGACCAAACTGTTTATTTCGTATCATTATCTTTTTTGTGCGAGGACAAAAATCTAAAGTATTTAGAAGTGTAGATGTAGATCATAGAGTGTGTTACAAAGAATTTTGGCACAGTCCGATGCACCCTATTTTATTATACGTTATATCTTATTTGCAATTTTATAATCATTTTCAATCAAAAGTAAATCAATTGCGTTTACACATGAATTTAAATTATAACATAAATATACATCGGTGCACCTGGCTGAGTATCCCGATCTTCGAAAGTAAAACTAAACAAAAGAAAGTAAACAATTTCTATTTTCCACAATCTGTCAATGCGTGTTTGGTGTTGCTTTTGAATGGAGGGATGTTGGATAACAATAACAACATAGTACCTTATAAGAAAATATGCCGATAGTCACTTAATATTACACACGTTCTTAGATATTTATTAATATTTTTTTAAGTAGAACACTCTTTAGTCCTTAGAATTAAATATTTCCATTATGAATAAAATGTATATATTACATTTAATAACACACTTATTTCAGTATTGTACTGTTGTCTAACACCGATGTATTTTATTACTTGCTAAATATACTGTATTGGGTGCCTTTTGTAGAGAATTCAAATCTTTTTAAAATATTATATCCCATATTATCTATTATACACATATGTCTATCACTTCTATTATATAATTATTTGCCAGAATATATTCATGTTTTGATTGATTATTATAAGTACATATCGTGTACCTTATATTTTAAAATATTTTAATAATTTTTTACAAATAGTTTAATAATTTGTATGTCAATTGGTCAATGTAAGGTATTTTTCTATTTATATAATTTTCTTGCCTTAATAAGTATGCAAAAAAATGACATTCTTTAAAACAATCCGGTTCTGTATTTAAACTGTAAATAATATACTTTCAAAAAAAACTTAATTTTATAAACATAATCACTTAATGTGCATAATGCATGTTCATAGTGAGTGTTTAAGTTTCATTTAGGAGCCATAAATATATTAATTTATAGGTAAGCAATTATAAGCAGTTGTCTGTAAACTGTTGCGCACGCAGAGTATATGTATATCTTTAATAATCTAAAATAATTTACAAGGCACGTGAAAGGCATAGAAAAAAAGTCATTGCTTTACAAAAAAGATATGTCTTAACCTGATTTTGGCCATGTGTGCGTATATTTACTCAATTTCTATCGAAATACGTTGCGTATTAAAGACCATGCATATTTTAACAAAGATTCATAAATTATTTAGCCAATTATAAGTTCAAGATCTAGTCAATATTTTTTAAGCATATAAAATTACAAATATAGTATATATATATACATATATTAAAAGTGTTAAAAAATTTCTTTTAAAAAAGTTCTTAAACAATTCTTAAACTATGTAGTTTTGTAAAATTAAATCATATTTATGTACAAATAAAAACCATATTGCATATTAGAAGTTAAAAAATGTGCAAGTATCTTTTAGCAATTTAAAATTTACACAATAGTGCACTTCTTTTTATGTCTAAAATAGATTACATCACATGTCGACCAAGTTAAATTCTGTCACAAATCTTTCTTATCTTCTTTTAAATTATCAGGACAAGAAATAGATTTCTTAACATTTTTAAGATTGACTGCTGATGTATTTGCACATGTTTCATGTTTTTGTGATTCTATTTGTTTCTTTTTTAATAATGATCCGCCTGTAAAACCTAAAGGGAAATATATTCACTATCTGTTATCTATCTGTTATTTGTCTTATGTAATTTTAGAAAATTTAGAAAATTTTACTAATATTATATATATATATATATATATATATATATATATATAAATTTATATAATACTTACCTAAAATTCCACAGCTTAGAGCAGCAAGGCCACCAATTTTCATTCCAGCTAATAAACCTATTGGTCCTCCAATACATGTGCCTAACATAGCACCTGCTATAGGATACGCAGCTACTTTATATTTGGAGGCTATTCCTAGATATCTCGTACCTTCATTCACATTTATTTGAGTTTCTTCAACATGTTCTTCAATGTTGTCAACCATTTCTTTCTGATGCTGTAAAAAAATTTTATATATATTTTATGTATAATTTATATACATACTTATAATAAAGCATATGCATATAAGATGCTTTTTCTACCTTTAAAAATTAAAGAAAAAAATTTAAGAGCTATTTTTTTCTTAAATTATATTATGTAATACAAATTGAAATGGTATATATATATTCTTACATGCACAATTTTATTAAATTCAGTAAAGAGCTCATGTAATTGTTGTATTTCCTCTTGCAAACAATTCCAGACACGTATACAGGTTTGCTGATATTGTAAATCTTCTCGTTCTACTTGCAATTGAATATCATTATCATTGAATGAATGTTTTGTCTCTTGATCTTCATTCTTTGATGGTACAGATGACAATTTTGATGCATCTAATTCCATTTCTGCAATTGATATTAATATCTATATTGATTCTTAGATTTTTATGTTGACCAAAATTAATTTAAGGGAATATTATATATTGTATTACGTTTCTTACCTAAATATTCCTCAATTGTACACATGATACTAGTCCGTGCATGTCTTGTCAACTTATCAAATTTATCAATGTCGACATCAAGAACCTGTGCTCTGAGAGTTTCCATTTGATACAATAATTCCTTTAATTGTTTAATAATACGGGATACATTAATATGTTCTTTCCTCATCCGTTCCCAATCATGTTGGTTTTGATACTGCAGAAATATAATTTGCTTACATACACACATGAAAAATGCTTTAAATGTAAAAAAATTTGTATATATGCTTACTTTTTTAATATTGTTCTTGTGTCGTTTTAATAAATTTACATGATGTGGAATAGCAACGTTGAAATTATTAATTTGAATTTCCAAACGTCTTATAGGTTGTTTGATTGTAATACTCTCTGATAAGGCTGACATGTTTTTGCTAAAGTGTTGTTCACGCGTTTATAATCCTACGTAATTTATATCTTTATGATAAGAGGCAATCTCTTTTACTCTTAAAATTCACTCTTTACATATGTATCTAAGTTTCATGTAATCCTCCTAATTTTTACTATAGAATTTTTATATAGATAAATGAAATTAGCTAATAATACGAAATAATGTGCTAATGTTTTATTACTACTTCACTAAATTGCACATATCCCGTCTTTGTTCAAGATCAGCTGTTGTATATAAACACGAGTACACAAACACAGCTGTAAAAATAAAATGCTATTGCTTTGCCATCTGTAGTACAGAGATAGGAGCAAAGAGAAATCTCTTCAAAATATTCCAATAACAATATTGATGCATAGAATATAAAATAGAAAGACAGAGTATGTGCACAGCTAATGAAATATATAATTCAATTTTTATCAATCCATATACAAGAAATATTTCTCATTTACAATTTATAAATATAAATTAACAGTATGATACACCGAACATTGACTTTATCGACAGTGTAGGAAATTTTGGATATGTAATTCTCACTTCTGAAATAGATGTGGGTAGCTGTACTAAACGAAGTTTACTGAGCCCGTTTCAAACAATAGAAAAATATTCTTCGACTTCTCTTTAAATTGTGTTCTCTTTAAATTGCGTTCTCATTAATTGTGTAAAAAAATATCAATTAAAATATTGAGTAACGTGATACAATTTCAAAAAGGTACGCTGCAATAATAAGAAACCTTTTTCTTTACAATTAGCGGACTGCGGGTGATCACAGAGTGCGCGTGCGCATGCGCGGCCATTGCCGCTTATTACGTTTCCCGCGCGTTATCGTGCAAGCAATTTCCGCGGTTTTCACGTTGAAAAAAAAGTTTCGCGTGTGTATAAGTGTCGGTAGTGCCGAATAAAGTGTCGTACGATTGTTTAATGAATGTTAATCAGTATGCGTGATAAGTATTATAAGTACATTTGCGCGCATTATAATTCGCAGTGTCGTTTGTAACCGTGTATTTGGATGTTTGATCGACAACATAAAAATCCAAAATCATTGTCGCATGTTCTTATCATCGCCATCTTGTACATTATGCAGTCGAGCATTAAAAATATGGATCGGATAAATGGAGGTACATGTATAATAATTAGGATTGGCTTTTTAATATCGCTGACAGTTGAATGTGCACGCGCGTTAATGAAGGTTACATAATTAATCCTTAGCTTAAATACAAAATATATAACCTACAAAATGAATTTTTTAAGCATCAAGCATTTTGCTCATACAATCATAGCTTTATGTTATATCTTATTTTTATTTAAATTGTAATAGTGTCATATCCTAAGTTTAAAAAGAATCTCTAAAATTCTTGTCATATTTAAATTACAATAGATTTCTTTTTATTTTATTATGTTTAATCAGTTTGCGTCATGATTCTAAATTGAGATTACTTTTAATGTACGTGTAAATTTTACATTTAGATATTTAATAAAAAATCTTAAAATATTGAAATCCAATAATATCTTGAAATAAATAACAAAAATCTTGAAAAATATAATAATCATATAAAATCGTACAAAATCATACAAAATATAATAATCATATTTAATGTTTTATAATATACATACATGTACATGCATACATTTAATGATTATATATTATTTTTATTTTCGTTATTTTTCAGTACTCTTGTCAATGCAGAATAACTCTCTTGTGCTGCTTGCACATTTTTTTAAATTAATTTAAATTTTAGAAACTATGATCTGCATAATCTATCTCATAAACTTATAATATAAAAAAACGTGAAAACTATATAAATTTCAAAAAGAGTTCATATATATATATATATATATATATATATATATATATATATATATATATATATCGATTTACTATGCATCATGTACTTACTGATACATAATTTTTATTTATACAAAGCGAAGATTTTTGACGTAAAGGACACTCGAAATTCACGTTCTTTCATCTCGCATTTGACGGAAGTTATAGGCAGTAATTGGAGAATTTATGTATGTATTAAGAGGTGATCAATTATGCGTCATCCCGCAATTCCAATGATCGTGCATCCGTGAGATCTCGATGAGTTTTACAAGGGTCGCCGCGAATGTACAATTTGGTATAAAGCCGGTGAGGCTTTTGGTAATGAAAAACCGATTGCGACCAAATAGGCTCCGGACTGCTGGTGACGTGTAATCGAGTCTTCTCTTCTGTCGCTTCGCCACCCACTCCCGGCCCTTTTGTCTCCCTCCTCCCCCCTTCCATCCATCTCATCCTTCCTCTATCCCTTGATTTCCCCGTTCCCCTGTGCTTCTTCCTCTTCCTGTGATTCCTCCGGCTTCCATTAGTCGCTATACGTCGTCTGTACACAGAGATCCGTTTTGTCCTGCTTTTGCGTGACCTTTTATTTCAAACAACCGCATTCAAATTACCGTTATCTGGATACTCGATCTTTTGACGTTTTGCCACTGGACGTTTAGAAACGTTTTTAACATCGTCCATTTCATCTGTCATTCTCTGTTAAGAAATGAATAAAAAATAATTCATTTGTTTATACTAATCTTGAGTTTAATTATTGCGTGTCTCTTGTGCGATTTTATTTTGTATACCGAGAAATGTTACATAGCTTTACTTTAAGTGTTTTTAATTTTTAATTTTTTACATTAATTACACACACACACACACATGCATGGATGCATGCGTACAATATATATACATCACTAAATTATTTAAGATTTTTAAATTATTTCTTTAATTATTATATTATTTTAATAGTATTTAAAAAAGCATTGATTTATTCTGTCACTTTCTCATTGATCACATTAAATAAATATAAAGGTTTAAAATTCAATCAGATATTAATTTTTTATAAAAAAATATTAAATCGCGAGGAATTAAATTGCTGAATATATCTATTCAATTTACTATTCATACTGATTGTGAGTTGGTTCGCGTATTTGGAATATGTATAATTAATTATATCTGACAGTCATACATGCTACTAGAACGATGATCGCGTTTTGTCTCCTCTCGTTCGTTAATTAGGAAATCCAAATTCGGAGTTCCTGAGGCGGAAGTTAGATATAAATTCGGAAGTAGCATTGTCTCGTAACAAAGTCACGTGCATACTAGCATTCGAATGGTTACTTACTAATGGTTAGAAACTGTTTTTATTTTATATTCTCTATTTTTCTAATATTTTATATATATATACATATATATATATATATATATATATATATATATATATATATAATAAAATATTCGTAAAATAAAATTATTATCATTTTTTCATATTATTAGCGAAATAATAATATTTATATCTTAAAAATAAATTTGTAATATTATAATTGAAACATTTTAATAAAATAAAAATAATAAATATAATATAATAACATAAATTATTTTTAATATACCTAATAAATATAACATAAATTTTTTAATATCCAGAATATAATAAATATAATATAATAACATAATTTTTTTTAAATTAACGTTATGTCATTCTAATGTTAAAATACACCGATCTAATTGCAAATCAACATTGCATTTGACAATGTCTCCTTTTTCATATATACACAAAGGCATTAGTAGTGTTTTATCTTTTCTTTGCAATTTTATATTTATTTTTTATTTATTTTTTATTATTAATTATTTTGCTGACAAATCAATAACTAACTTTAAACTATAAAAAATCAATTTTAATTTATAATGATTTTTCATATTCTTTCTTGCGTTAGATTGTAAACACACATATTATAGATACATTAAATAAACAGATGAGAATGAATACATGGCAACAAATAGAATGTGCATCAAATGTATATATAAATATACATATTTTACGTGCACGGCGTTTTATATGTGGTTTATATGAGAAGAAAAATCTTAAGTCATACAATAATAATAATAACAATAACAAAGTATAATAATAAGAAAGGCACAATAATAATAATATTATTTATAACAATTATTTATAATAATAATAATATTATTTCTAATATTAATAATTACATAACAATAACAGAGATATTAAAGTGTATACCTTGTACTTTAATTACTTCACTGTCAGCAACAGCTTTACGAATAATTTAGTACAGCTACATAGTAACGCATGAAGAGCGCTAATGACGCGACATCCGACTGGAGAATAATAGTCTGTCCAAATTAATTCTCTCGGCTATGCTTTTAGTAAAGTAAATTTTATTGCTATCTTGCTCTCGAAGTCACCAAATTGTAATTGTATAACAACGCCGTAGTTAAACATTGACCGTTTAACTAATCTTTGCTGCGTACGTTCTAGGTAATGTTCCACACATTTGCACTTATTCAAATATTTCTCAGTACACGTGTCAGTAATTTTGTACCGTGTAACTATTGTCGATATTGCGGTTGCCGAATCAAATTCACATCCTGTTATATACGCACATCCTGTTGCACACATGTTACGAATTAATTAAATAGATTTTTTTATTTTTTATACAACAAAACATTCCCGCAAAATACAGCCTTAGGACAAATTCGATAATCCGTCATCACGAATTATCAATATCGAGAATAACATTTTCGATGCAGAAACTTGTAGCATTTTTAGTAACGATTTTAGCATTTTGGTCCAAATGACAATGTTGTGAAATTCAACGCAGCAACATGACGCATATTGTCGTCTGTGACATTTGCACAAATGTTGCCACCTAAAATGAGTTTCGCCATTCATATCTGGAATTTATGGAATAAAGTGTAAGTGGTTTTAGTTTATGAAATTTTTGATTGCAGTGTTATCGTATCGATTATTGCATTGTGAGCATCATCTGTGTTACACGGTACCTCGTATTTTTTAATACCTGGATTAATTTTATCGTATTTTTTAATATCCGGACTAATTTTTTTTATTATTGCTTCTTTATTACCTTGTCGCCATCGGATAATCGATGAAATATTTCGTAATATACTGGCGATAAGTGACAGAAACATCTTTCTTTTTTCGCAATCACCGCCAGATACCAATATTAACGAATGTTGTCGATGGCAGTCTTCTCCTCAGGACAAAATCTTATGCGCTTTTATAGATAGGTAGGTTAGGTCAGGACAGTTTCAATCGATGTAGGTTTAACGTCGTTTGCGGCGTAGAATTGATAAATGACTATGAAATATAGGGATTGTATCAGAGTAAAACGATATCGAATGTTAGTGAAATGCTACTGCAAGAAAAAATATCGCGTGTGCGTTCTGTTTAATATCTTTAAATCTTTTTAATAT